AAAAAAAAAAAAAACGCCTAGCGACAAATCTTTAGGGTTTGCCTAAACCTTAGTCCTATTTAGTTTCTGAGACTGCCGTTCGAGCGCGAGGTCTCTCTTTCCCAGCGTGCACACCTCTATCTGCGTCTGCTCTGTTCAGCAAGCGACTGAGAGGAGCAATGCGCTTTCAGTTAACAGATATTATGTCGCTTCTCTAATCTTACATGCAAGTATCACTCTTAAAAATAAAGGTGCTTCAAAAGGTTCTTCAAGCGATGCCAAAGAAGAACCATTTTTGGTTCCACAAAGAACCATTCAGTCAAAGGTTCTTTAAAGAACAATCTCTTTCTTACCTTTTTATAATCTGAAGAACCTTCTTTCGCCCCAAAGAACCTTTTGTGTAGAAGAACCATTTTTGGTTCCACAAAGAACCATTCAGTCAAAGGTTCTTTAAAGAACAATCTCTTTCTTATCTTTTTATAATCTGAAGAACCTTCTTTCGCCACAAAGTACCTTTTGTGAAACAGAAAGGTTCTTCAGATGTTAAAGGTTCTTTATGGAACCATTTAGACAAAAAGGTTCTTCTATGGCATCGTGAAGCACCTTTAAGAGTGTATAGCCGAAATCACAGCACAGCTATTGTCTTTATCTTATGTGTATTTGATCTCATCAGAAGACGGCTCGATTATAAATCAGGATTCTTGTTCAGATAAACTTCTTGGAAGGGAGAGCTGGTTATGTATTCTTAATGGGTCGCGTTTCGGTAACAACAGAAACAGTAAAACATATCAAAGAAAACAGTTTTGTTGAGAATTTAGCTGCATCAAAATACAGTATGTGGGGCCGGGCACAGAGATTAATAATAAATAATAAATGTAAATTTTGCATGTTCAGAAGAAGTGAGCTGCCCTGTCCTGTGAAAATGTAAACAGGCTTGTGTAAGTAAATTGCTCAGTGCAGTAATGGGAACCTGGTATTTCTATGTTCTTTTTTCATGTGTCTAATACACATGAACAAGTTTTTTGAAAAACATCTATGACCTTTGAAACATGTCTAGTCTTCATGCTCTATGTTGAGTATGGTTTCACTAATAATAAACATACATTTGCATAAAGCATCCATATTTGTCCATGCCCATGTTGATTAGAGTATTAAAAACTTGAAAAGTATTAATTTAAGGTACATTTAGAACAGATAAAAATGTGCGATTAAATTGCGATTAATCATGAGTTAACTCATGACAATCATGCGATTAATAGCGATTAAATAATAATCAATTGACAGCCCTAGAATAGATATGTATAGTATACTAAAGAAATACATTACAAGTACAGAAGTACATTGTACAGGCACAGAAATATTATTTAATATATCTTTACTTTAGTGCTTTAAATGATTTACTTCAAAGTATTAATAGACTGAAATTAAACAATAGGCAATTACCTCTAATATTTGTAAAATATAGCTTTACTTATATCTAATAAACTTTTTTTTTTGTAAAATTCACATTTTGCCAAAATATAATATTATGCATTTCAAAATAAAGGACAGAAAAAAACAAATATTCAATCAATTCAATATGGAACCTAGATAACTTATCATGAGTCTCTGACCACCGTAAAAATATAAGCATAAAAACAGTGCTTATAGTATGCTCTTTTTTTCTTTTTTTTTTACAATTCTTTGATGAATAGAAAGCTTTTCTTTTGATCAGTTTGATGCACTTTTGCGGAATAATAGCAAAAGATTTGATTTCTTTAAAAAATAAGTATATACGATTTTAATGACTCCAAACTTTTGAACAGTAGGATATATTCCTATCCCTAGCAGATCTCTCTGTGGTTTTCCCTCTTTAATATCATTAACTGTCAATAAAGGGATTGATGGCAGTTTGACACACGTAATGGGCTGTAAATGCGATGATGCTTTCTCTGAATTCAGAAAATGGACAGTTTATGACCATCTGTACTCGAATAACCTTTTTGAATATTCTCTTGATGCTTTCTCTATCTTCCACACATTTTTTAAGCGGTTTCTTTTCCCGCACCATTCTCAGTGCTCTCGCTGTCTAATTAAAGAGGTGGTTGCTAAGAGGATGTGATGTGGTGTTACTCAAAAGCTTTGTTCTCTCTTCTCTTCTGTCAAGGGCTGACCCATGTGAGGAGAGTGGAGTTCACACACACATACATACGCACACACAAACACACACATGGACGGCATGGCGTCTTTCTCCAGCACCTGTGGCTCCAAGGTGGATCGGGCGTCCCATCGGAGAGGAGAAAACAGACAGGGGACACCCAGTGACAGTGACTGCAGTGCTGTGCTTGAGAAGACCAGAGAGTTCTTCCAGATTTGTGACATCGAGGGCAAAGGCTTCATTACACGACGGGACATGCAGGTAAGGATGTTGGGAAAAGGACGTCCATGTGATTTGTCATTAGACCTGGAGTTTTATTGGTAAAGATGAATGAAAACCCCACAAAATGTCTCAAGTCATCTGGTTTTCCTGGCATTGTTTCATCTACAAACCATGAGCTAATTGAGCTAATTTGTGTTTGCTAACCCTTATAAATTGTTTACTTACAACAGAAGACAAGCAGTAATCTGAATTAAGTAATTAACTTCCAAAAAAAAAAAACAATTAAAGGCGTAGTTTGTTAAATATTTAATTGGCAATTTATTGTGAAAAATTCAAGTTAGTACAACATGCTTCTGTACAGAAGCTCTATTCTTTTTGAATTCCCCAGAGTTCCTTCCCACTGTCATGAAAAACCTGAAAATATCAGGATTTTTTAAAATTGTAATGTTCAGTAACAAATTATGAATAAAAATAAAATAATTTATGAAAATTACTATAGTGAATAAATATTTTTCTAATTATTTTAAGCTCTAAAATATTTGATCATCTAAAAGTTGCTCCTTGGGACTGAATTTTATCACTATGTAATTATTTTATTTATTTATTACTATT